AGACATTTTTGCTTCATTTTTGAATGGTGCTTCAATAAGTAAAAAATTAGTATTAGCGGTAGAAATTTTCTTCATTTCTGAATGGTGCTTCAATAAGTAAAAATTTTGTATTAGCGGTAGAAATTTTAGTTTCAGTTCTGAATGGTACTTCAATAAGTAAAAAAATAGTACTAGCGGTAAATATTTTTGCTTCATTACTTGAAAAAGTAATATAATTGTAAATGGTAATACAAATGCTTCTTGCGGTGTAAATAAATTATTATAAATACTCTATAAAATACAGAAGTTATCATTTATAGGTTATTTTGATATATCTTAAGTATATTATAGAAGCTTTTTACCTGTTGAAATAAAATATATTGTAATTTTTTATTTGTACGATTGATAATGATTGGAGCAATAATATCTGCTATGTGTTATATTAAAAAAAAGTAGTTTTTGTCTGGCATTTTTAAGCTTAAATGTAGTATTAGCGTATTAGCGGTAGATATGTTTGCTTCATTAATTTAACATTTTAACCTTAAATAAGTGGTAGATAATTTTGCTTCATGGCTTAAATATGTTTATAAATAATAAATCTTAGTACATAAACTTATATCATATAAATAACAATAAATAAATTATTATCAATATTCAATAAAAACGGGTAGTTTTATCCTGTAAGTAATGTAGATATGTCTCAAGTAACTTATAAAAGCTATTTATTGAGTTGAGATTAAATTAAATAGAAATTGTTGTATCTTTTGATTACTACAATTAATAACGATAGGGACTGTATAAAATTATGGTATGAATTATTTTTTAAATTTGAATTGTGTTCGTAGCTTTCGAATTTGCTTAATATCTTAAATAATTAATTATTTTTTAAACAATAACATAATAAATTTACAGTGCTTTTTATCAATTGTGATTAAAATAAATATAATATATTGTAATTGTTGATTCGTGTGATTACTAACGATTTTAATTTTGTCAAAGCTTTTTTATTGGACATGTTTTTGTTACATTATATAAAGTAACTCAAATAAGTAAAAATTGTAATTGTAAAAATTGTAAATGATAACACATGTGTAAATTAATATATATAATTTTTAATTTTAAAGTAATGTTCACATGACTTAAGTAACTTATAAAAGCTTTAAATTAAAAACATTATATTATAATTTTGATTCGTGCTATTAATAACGACAGAAGCTTTTAATCTCATATAAGTTATTTGTTTACAGATTTTGTATAATATTTTGGAGATTATATTTTGTATTAGCTGTAGATATTTATTTATCATTACTGAAATTACTTAAATAAGTTAAAAATTTGTAGTTACTTAAAATGACTTAAGTATCTTTTTTTTTAACCGCAACAATAATAAATCGTTAAATCATTATTAATGAATTAGAAGTAGTGCATCAAGACTTTGAAAGGACCTATGTGCAAACTGATTTGGATGCCCCTACTAAGAATGGGATATTTCATTAATATAAACAATACAGAAAATCATATTTTTTTTAAATAAACATTAACATAAATGCATAAAAGTAAGATACGGTAATAAAAATAATATTCTTAGGAACTAGCGAACTTATCACTCATAGATTCATAATCTAACAATTGAACAACATCATTTAAATACGTGACAAATTACTCGAACGTAATTAACTCATCATTATTGTATTTGAATGTAATCTATCCACATATTCAGTAATTGCATCGATACTCATTTTATCACTCGAGGTTCTCATTAAACGAGGTTCCACTGTATTTCAATTTTGGCCGTGTAAAAATTAAGACAAAATTTTCTGAAACTTTTTGGACCTCGACCCCTTTTTTTTGACATAAAAAATTTGTGCGACTCCTCGAAGAATGGGTATGATAACAACCAGAATATTTTGGATCTGTACATAAATAAATTATTAATTTTATTTCAATTTATAACTGTTTGCAGTAGCGGTAGATATTTTCGGATATCATTCAAAAAAATAACTTTAGGATCTGCTTCACATTGTTATTTACAATTCAATTTTTCTTTACTATTTCATAACATATATTTTACTTTATTAATAAAGCGACTTCAGTGAGTTAGAAATTTGTGAACAGTAGCATAAAACGTGAAATTATTATCTATAAATTATATGAAAATATTTACATTTTATCATAAGCTTTTCTACATAAAAAAAAGTTTGAATTAAGTGCTTTTGTTTGTGAACATCAATTCGTTTAGATTCGGTATCAATTCTCGCAAAAAATATATGGGATTAGCAGCAGAACCTGCTATTTTAGAACTGGTAAGAACGATCCTATTTCTGCCACCCTTTACATGTTTATCAAACCGCACTACAAAAGGTTTATTTTAATTCTACGCAATTGTATAGTATAGGAAAAGTAACAGTTTAAAGATAATTCTTTAAGCTGTTACTCTTAAAAACCTTTCAATAAGTTATATTCTATTCAATTCGAAGATATTTTACTCGCTTTACTTTACTAAAAAATAAATTTCTAATTGTCACTCTTTTTTATTATAATTTTTTTTTTCAAAGATTCTAAGAAGAAATATGTTAGTGATATGGACCGTTTATATTTTGAAAGTGGTGCAAGTCAACTAAAAAATGTTTCAACTAACTTATCAATAAGTAACTTGATTATATAAATTTCTTTAATGCGAATTTAACTAAAATAATATATAAAATGATTTATTTCATAATTAGTTAATTGTACAAATCATTTAATTTCAATTAAGAATAATTATATATCACTTTAAATATATTTTGTATAATTCCAATTTTGATTATAAATAATAACAAGAAATAAAATACTAGTATTTTTTATTTTGAACTTTAACTATATTAGCATATTGTTATACTTAACTAAATTTTATATATGATGGACAGAAGGTATGTAAGGTAATATCTGCTCCATATCCTGATTTTTTTGTTGAAATGAAATTCTCTCGTTTCATGTACAATACATTGTTTGTTTTTTCTACATTGTATTATAACAATCTAATAATCATATTCTATAATACCAAAATCTGCATCATTTGAAAGATATAAATTAATCATAAATTATCACTTTCAATATAAACGGTCCAATATGTTATAATTGAATTTGTATGCAATAAATGAATATTAAACGATATCATAATTGTGATATATGATATATCCATCAATTGATTTATTGCATTTGAAAATATATTAGTAATTTTATTTTATAGTAATTGACTATTACTGTTGGGTAGATAGAAAAATAAAATAACAATTTGTATAATTTCTGTTATTTTGTCTTATATGCTATGTACTAAATCTACAACTATTTCTGCTATTTTCACAGATATTGACTGAATATTCATATTACAACTAATTCATTAAATGAAACAGATTTGTATAATTAGTATTATATTAAAAAAAAAGACGAATATACAAACATTAGATAATAAATTCTATTACATAAATAATATTAAAATTAAATAACTTTTCTTAAGATTCATCCAATTCTAGGCCAATTTTCAACAAGTTTGGGCTGTGTATGCTGTGCAGGCCAATAATTTGAGGGTTTGCTCTTAAAGTATCATAAAGCAATTTAACAGTGAGCTTATCATTACTGTTACCTCTCTTGCTACAAGAATATGCAAATGCAGTTTGCTGTTCGATATCTTCCAGAGTCGGTTTCATCTTTGGCACAAATGAATCATCATCATCCATCACATCAACTTTAGATTCTTGTGAATAGTCAATCACATTGTTGGCATTTCTGATTGTAGGATCAGGTACAGGAAAGCCAAAGCCATATTGAAAATGTCCATCCCTCACTTTATAAGATTCTTTTCTGGATATCATTGCAGTTAATATATTCTTGACAAACATCTGAAATTAGATACATTTTAAATATAATTAGGAATGGGTAAAATTGTCTCTACTTACTTGACAAAGCATCACCACATAGTCAGAAACATTAGCATGAGCCCCATCAAGTCCATTCTCCCAAGCATGTATTTCAATTCTCGTGGATATGAATCTATTGTCTGGCAAAAAGAACTCAGATGCTGCACTTCTATGTACAATATTTGGTGGAATCATTGATGGACTGGATGGGGATAGGTATTCTGTAAAATCTGCCATTTCATAGAAACCATCATCAGAAGTCTGTACTTTTTTTGTTCTGGTTGAATTGACTTTGGAAGCCAATGCTAATATATATAGATCATGGCAAACAATTTGCTCATCGTTTTTGAATAATTTTCGAACAGCCCCATAGAATTGCGTATTTGTCAACGGCTCACTGAACATGAGCCATTTCTTCAGTAATATAAAATATTGTTTTAGTAAATCTTCCCCCAACACTGCTTCCAGGTTTTTTCTGGCTTCTTGTAAATCACTCATAACTTGTATGTTTAAAAACTAGCACTTTTAAACACGCACTCCACACACTTTTGTTGACAATATTTTAACATGTTTTCTTTTTATATAGTAAGTTGATCAAGCCTGCCAACATCGTGCAACAATATAAACAGATTGTATATATTTGCATCTAAATTTTTATGTTGGTGATATTGGAAAAGGAATTGCAGTGTGAATTATAGGTTATGAATCAGGATCATAATAAATTTAACAAGAATTTATAATTTATAACATAAACTTAAGTTAATAAACTGCAAAATGAATACTATAGCGAATGTACTTCGTAATAGGTATATAACATTTGTTTTACGCTTCAAAAGTTATACTTTTTATAACATAACCTTTTATCTGCAGATCCAATTTAAAATTAAATCTAACGCAAATCACAAGATTATCTTCAAATGTTTCGGAAGAAAAGATTGTTATTCCTAAAGCAATACCAAGAGGACCTACAGATATTTTAAGAGCATTGGAGAGCACTGTTTCAAGAGATCCAACAGCCACTCATTATAAATACCACGATGATCCATTTTTAATTCCAATGTCTAATATGGGAAAGAGAACATTTGCTATGGCTCAGGAGGCAGGACGTAAGGCTGCCTATTGGGTGCGAGAGCAACATCCAGATTTATTTCAACATCAAGAAGCTGACCCTCCAATTAAACCTTTTTTCCCAAAAATGGTATACAGTGAGGATGAAGTTACAGAGGACACTTTAAAACATGTTATTGATGAAGTTCTTATACCAGATGCAAAAAAAATATATAAGTTAATGATAGAAAAAGGCATGGAAATATCTAAAGAAACACAACAAGCATTATTGGATCTATTGTGTTTCTATAATAATGAGGATACCTTGTCTGAAGAATTCATTGAAGAAAGATGGTTTAGAAATAGTGCAAAAGAGAAGGTGAGGAAAACATGGGCTGATGGTTCGTTAGCTGAAGAAATATTTATTAGTATTGAAAATCCGGATGCAGCAGCTTATTCTGCAATAATTCAAGGAATGGCTAAACATTACCAGGTGAATAGAGCATGGCAATTATTTGAAGAAGCTCAAGGGAAAGGACTTGAAGTCAATACAAGCACATACAATTCAATTATTAGAGTTACCAGTTTTATGAAAGAGAGTTATGATTTGAGATGGAGTTTTGTGAATGACATATTGTCTTTAATGAATAAAGCAAAAACTAAACCAAACCTAGGTACATTGAATGCTTGCCTGGAAATAGTGAGTACAATGGGTCAAAGCAAAACTGCAAAAAGTTATGCACTGAAATTGCTGAAAGAATTTAAATCATTGGGTATTGAACCATCTTTGGCTTCTTGGTATCATGTCTTGATGACATATTGTAAAGAAAGAGGACCAGTTAGTACAATTTTGAATGATATTTTACCACATATTGAAAATAAGGAGCACACAATTAGAGATATTAAAGATACTTTCTTCTTTGTAACTGCAATGGACATTTGCAGGAATCATCTCCATGATAAGGATCTGGCACAAAGAGTTAACAAGTTACTGCATTTTGGGAATAACTATAATTTAATTGGTGATTCCTACAAAGAATCAATTTATTAGTAAGTACAGCTTATTCTACATAAAATTAATTATAATTTCTATTAATATATTTTTATAGCCGGCATTACTTCATAGTATTATGTGAAACTGAACCACTGGATGAATTCATGGAAAACATTTACAATAAATTGGTCCCTCATATATATGTACCAGAACCTGGAGTTATTGCTGAAGTACTCAAGAACATTGACATGAATTCAGCTGTTGAATATTTACCAAAAATATGGTCCGATATGTTGATCTTTGACCACACGGGACGTGAAAACCTTCTCAATATGGTCATGAATATTATGATAAACCATAAACCAGATGAATCGTCTGAATTGAATGACAAATTTTCTAAAATTGCATGGGGTATTTGGTCTAAAATTGAAAACCAAAACGAAAATAGGATTCAAAAGTTGGCGTAAGTATTCTTGTTTTGCGTAAATATAAATCACATTTTCTTAAAATCTTAAGTAAACTTAGCCCATAATTAATCTTTTTTTTTGATTTACTTATCATTGATTAACATGATGTATCATCACAGTTCACGTTGCCATGCATAACTAATGCATGATGGTTTGCCTCTGAGACGGTAGAGGCTAATCTGTATGTAAAATAGCATCCTATTATAAGCACCATCCAAACAAAAAAGTTTGGTAAATTATCACGTGCTGTTTTTCTTGCTCTCTCGTTATGCGCATGTATACAATGACATTGATTAATTTTATTACAATGTGAATCATCATTTTTGTTTGTTTCTTTTTTTTCTTCCAAAATTTGAATAGCTGCTGAGGATGCAGGTTTTGAAGATTTCGTTGTCTGTATTTTTCTGGATATAGATGAGATGGGAGGAGGAGGCTTCTTAGATGAAGTTCCTTCAACACTTGTTGAAGTTGTTGAGAATTCATCCACTTCATAAATTGTTGGTGATTTAGAAACTCTCTTTGAAGGATATGCCATATATCTGGATAATTTGGAAAATCTATTATCAGACGATGATCTTTTTATTCTCTCATTTATAGATGAATATTTCGGCGATAGTCTTTCATTAATAGATGAATGTTTAGAAGGTTTTTCGTTTGTCTTTTTTGTTTTTCTTATATCTTCATCCTCTTCTTCGTCTATTTCTTCTTCTGTCGACAAATCTGCATCTAAATATCTTAGTTTAGCTTTTCTAGAATGTGTACTTTTCTTTGTTCTTGAATGATGTTTTTTATTATCTTTGTTGGTTTGTTCATCCTCAAGCAAAACGTTATCTAATTCTTCTTCGGAATCATTCCTTTCTGGTAAAACATCATTGATTTCTTCAAGCGTAGACATGGAACATTGATCTTCATTCTTCGCAGGAAAGTACGACATTGGGCTTTGTGAATTTACTCCATCATATTGATATATTTTATAAGGCACTTCTGTTCCTAACAATGGACATTGAGATTCCTTTAACTCATCCTCGTACACATGTGTTGAAGCATTACCCACCGACGACGCGTTGGAATATATTGTTTTTACAGTATCGGTTGATGTACTTCTTGAAAACTTTCGGAAAACTGAAGGAAATTTCCACTTTCTGTCATCTTTTGACTTTTTAGACGAATTAGTTTGTGAATGATTCAGACCCTTTCTCATCGAATTCACATTTGATCTTTAACTATGAATTTCCATTAGTTTCTTGAGATTTTTAAGTTTTATCCGATATTTTATGAGACATATGTCATAGTTCGATACATAAAATATTTTATTTAATTTTAGGTTCACTGGAGAAATGCTGGGCAACATTATGATCATGGTGTTACGCAACAATGATTTTGAGAAAGCTTTCGAGGTAATGCAGAAACTGGATAAGGGTATGCACAGCGTCGTTGGAGTACCTAAATTAGATGCTCTCTCAATGTTCATGGATCACTGCATTAAAGAAAAACTGCCGACCACAGCCATTGTAAGTATTGCACCAATTTATTTTAAATCGATAATACTTGTAGTGATTTTTTCAAACTTATTGATCAAAATTCAACGGAATATACTCAAATATTTATATAAAAGAAAAAAAAGTGATTTATGAATCACTGGATTAATTTCTCCGAAATCGATTGTTGTATGAATACGTTCAGATTTAATTATTTCATTGTGTTTTTCAGCAATGTATTCAGTACCTCACGGACAGCGGTTTCCCAGAAGCCGAGGATTTCGCTATCAGATTGAATAAGAGTTTGACGTTAGATGAGACACATTTAGGTCGTCTTGGTAAAATTGTAGGGGAACAATTTTTGCAGAAAAAGATGTAATTATTATTTTCTTTGTATTTTAGCAATTTTTCTTATTGTAAATAAAATTCACAACTTAATTTCTATTAATTTATTTATTGCCTGTAACAATTTCAATACTTATATAACAATTGTTAAAATAAAGATCATCAAAAAAAAAATATGTTAAAAATTGAAATAAATTACGTTAATATATGACGTTAATTCAAACAAATTTAATTAAGACATAATTAGGTGAATAATAAATGTTTAATTGTACAACAAACAAAAGAAGTATATTGGGACCCCTTCTTTACACAATTTATACATCTGATTTACCAACAACTGCAAATACTACAGTTGCGACTTATGCTGATGACACAGCAATTTAGCATCAAATATACGATACTTGCAACAAAAGAACTTCAAATATGCTTGAACGTAATTGAAAAATGACGAATTAAAACAAATCAGACTAAATCAAGTCACCTAACATTCACCTTAAAAATAGGAACCTGTCCTCCAGTTACTTTAAATAATAATGTTATCCCAGAAGCTGATAATGCCAAATACCTGGGTATAATTTTGGATCGCAGACTTACATGGAAAAAAACATATAATAACTAAATGGAAGCAACTAGGAATCAAATTCCCTAAATTATACTGGTTAATTGGGGGAAGATCGCAGCTATCACTAGAAAACAAAATTTTAATATATAAGGGAGTATTAAAACCGCGTGAACCTATGGTATACAGCTTTGGGGAATAGCAAGCAATTTAAACATTTGCAAGCTCCCTGGTATGTGCCTAACGACGTGATCCACAATGACCTCCAAATTAATACCGTGAAATGTCTATGTTTAGTGAGCGATACCGGTTAGAAAAGCACCCCAATACACTATCTATGAATTTATTAGACAATAATGAAACCCCCGATATACTAAAAAGTTATAACATCATTGATCTCCCTTATAGATTTTTAAATTAAAAGAATTTTTTTAGTTAATTGTTTTTATAGTAAATAAATATTCATTTATATTATAATTTGGAAGGTTTTCAAGGGGAAACTATTCAGCTCAGTGTTATATTTTGCTGCAGTTCCAAAACATTATTTACTCATTGCCATCATGTGGCAGATTGTGAATAATAAATTTATTAAAAAAAAAACTTTACTTTAGTGAACGAATTATACTCTATTTACTAAACATATTATTAATAATAATATTTATTGCAACAATAAATCACCAAAATAGAAACCCAATACAATAGGGTTATTGACCTTTGCAGCAGTTTAAATTGACTTATTATTATTTTTTCGAAAATATTATTTTATATTCTTCCAATATTTAAATTGAATTAATTATTCTGTTCAGAGTTAAGTGAAGAATAATCGTAAGAAAAAGAAAGGTCGATAGCCTTTATAACGCAACAACATTAAAATTAAACAATATTATTATTATTTACAATTCAAACGACTAATAGAAAATATGGAAATGCAATGGCCAGAAAATACATACATACATACAAAATAAGAACTTTCACGCTTTCCAATTCATTATATGAGCCGATTATTTTGCAGGTGGCCTAAGTCCACTTCATTATTGATAATGTCTGAAAGTGCGGGTGTTCAAATTTCTGAAAGCAGCGATGAAGGTAGTTTCAATTATTTTATAGTAATTAATATTATTACGGAAAGGTAATAATTTTATTCTAAATGAATTGAAACAAGAGGATTTTATGTCAACAAAGGTTAAGGAATTCTTACGGAGAAATAATAAGTTAATTTGAAATATGCTGTTTTTTAAAAAATGAACCATTTACAATTTTCTAAGATATCCATGAATACTGGACTTATTACCACGTCGGGGGAGACCAAGAAAATTCGAAAATATTTTATTGACACCACTTTATAAAAATAGACAAATTGTCGTGTCCCAGGGTTAAGAAATCCTTGGACACGGTGGATTATCTCGTAGTTATGTCGTTGCGGAGTCTTGGAGGGTTTTATGAATATTAAATGCAATATTCTTAATTTAGTTTTATNNNACTCTCCTCCAGACTGACTTTGTATTACATAAACATCCTATTTTATAGTAGGGAATTAGCATAGTGGGAGTACAATATTTGAAAAGGAAAGATAGTACCTAGCTTTCCCTAATTTGTAAGTCATTCGGCAGATGTACATATTTAAGGTCATTATAGATTGGACCTTCGAGTTTGTTCAAAACATGGTGATTAAGTGGTATTTGTTCTAAGTCTTAATGACTTACATAAATAAACATGTATAACATAATAAGGGCTAACATAATATAAACAATAACGGTTATACATAACAAAATTACACATCGAAATACACGGATATAGTGGACTTACTCCGATATACGGTATATAGCATTTTTCAATTTGACGTGCTTTAAACTATTGTCGAATGGACTTGAGATCTTTCAAATTTTCTAATAAATCTAATTGTTAATTATGATCCATTTGTGATTATTAACTTAATAATTTATATTATTTTAATAGGATTTGTAAATTTTACTCTTTTAGATACACTAAAAAATTGTGACATTAATATCATGTACTTATATCCAATTATCGACTATGAGAATATGTGGAAGTGCGATGACTTTGTTTCTCCGAACATTCACGCATTCCAATCCATTATATATCACGAAAAAAAAAAAATAGAAGAAGCGTAGGTATGTGAGTATATTAAGTATTTAAAATTCTTATAAGATTTGTATACAGGAAGTACACGAAATGATTGAATGAATTGAAAGGCTGGGGAACCTATATCCATGATCCACATTTCACCTAATGTCGATTTGAGGGAAAGGCGATTGAATTCCCGACGTGATGAATCTTTAATTTATTGACCTATCATATGATGCGGCGTCGGCCCTTAAACGAAAAACATACCACAGTTGTGATGGCTACGAGAAACACGTGCGGCTCGTCCACCTTATAGATCATTCATATAGCAATAACTTGATGATATTAACGAGCTTAATTGAATTTATACGTGCGGGTATAAAAATGCGAACGACACGAATATGATGGACAGTTGCGTACATCAAAAATGTTCTTTGTAGTGATACTTGTATTTCGATTAGTGATCTCTGTTTACGGGGATAATTTTCCTTCGCTTTTAACAACGAACGCAACTCTTGGTAAGTTGATGGACTCTTGAACCCGGCGCATCCGTAATTTGTTCTTCTTTTTGCAAATATGTCTTCAGCTGTGGTTGTTGATAAAGAATACTTGGCGGATGAGTACAATATGGTACGTGATACAATTGAAGAGTTTCTCACTTACGCCAAGCGAGAGATTATTAAACACGGCGGTGTTAACGTGCAATTTTATTCTTGGACGAGAATCAACATAAAAAGAGGCGAGTCTAAAGTATTAAACACGTACCAAACTAATTTTGTGAATTTTACGTATTCAGATATTACTGCAATATTTAGTATAGCTTCTTGTCAGGACACCTGGCGACTCTTCAAGGCCGCTTCAGATGAAAATATTCTACATATTGCAATTTCAGGTAATGTACTTCATTACGTAAACGTATATTTTATAATGGTTCATATTAAGTAGGTTAGTGTTTTAAACCAAAGACAATTTTAGTATTTTAAATATAATAAAATATTCTAATCACAATATTTACAATTTGTAGTTCTTATATGATAAAAATATGTAGAGTAACAACACAATATACATATATTTATATATCTTAATAACTCATGAAATGTAAAAACCTAAAGAATAATTTATTAAGGTATGTATTCTTATTTGAAATAATCCTTTGTAATGAGAATAATACAAAAATGATGAGAAGATATATATTTTTTTTGTATATTTCAAGTTAACATTTATAATTTCTTCAGCATTTTTTTTTGTCTAAGTTTTATAATGACATTTCTGGATTATTACATTCTATTTATTAGTATTATGTCATTTTCATGATAAATTTAATAACTTCAAGTATAATACCTTGAGATAAACATAATTCAAATGAAATAAATTAAGAGTAAATAAACTTTAAAGAAATAATTCATTACTTATTAAATATAAAAAAATAATAATGCAGTAATTGAAATAATAAAATTCCACTGTATATGATTAACTAAAAGTTAATATTTCAAAAATTTAAAATATAACTGATATTGTGAAAATTATCAACGATTTAGTCTTCTAAAAGTTGTTATAAATTTTATATTTTTTCAGAAACGGATTGTCCAAGAATGCCAGTAAAAGAAGCGTTTACAGTGCCTCTTTTAAAACTTGGCGAAGAGTTACCACAATTACTATTGGACATTAGAACTTCTAAAATTTTGGAATGGCCCTCTGCAATAATTCTATACGATTCAATATTGAGTAAAAATAAAATCATATACTAGATTTACATGGATCATTTCAAATTTATTTTTTTCAGAAAGAGATATGGTAACTAGAGTTGTGAGTACATTGACGAAAGAATCGAGTGCTTTGAAAAATAACGCAGCAATTTCATTGATAAAATTGGAAACGAATTCGAGCGCAGCAGATACTCGTCTTGCTATAAAGGAAACCTTTGAATCTTTGTTAGTCGACTCTTTAGGATCTCATTATTTAGCCATCGTTACCATGGACACAATGGAAACGGTAATGGATATAGCTAGTGACATGGGTTTGGTAACACCAATTAACCAATGGTTGTATATTATACCAGATGCCAACTATGGTAATTATAATATAAGTACTGTCCAAAAATTCATGAAAGAAGGCGACAATCTAGCTTTTATTTATAATGCGACTGTTACTTCTCCTGATTGTACAGTAAGACTATGAATAGTTTGTAACTGCTTTTGTAAAGTAATATATTTTAGGGTGGTATAATTTGCCATGTAAAAGAAATTTTGGAGGCTTTCACAAGGAGCCTAGAAATTGCTATCCTGGACGAATACGAATTAGCTAGTCAAATAAGCGACGAAGAATGGGAAGCAATAAGACCAACGAAAAGTGAGAGAAGACATTCAATATTGTATAACATTAAGGTATTTTATAAATGTGATGTACTTAATGTTATGTTAATTATACATTTGTAGGCTCATTTATCGCAATTTGGTGTATGTGATAATTGCACAACCTGGAAGCTGCAAGCTGCAGAGACCTGGGGTAAGGAATACCCCCAAGGCTCAACGTCTTCCAAAGAAATTGGTCCACAGTTGCTGTACGTAGGAAGTTGGCGTCCGAGCGACGGCAGTTCAATGGTCGATGAGCTTTTTCCTCACGTAGCTCATGGGTTTAGAGGAAGAAGCCTACCGCTGATAACTTTCCACGTAAGTCTTTGCGTTTGTTTTTTTGGGTCTCGATGCGCATCTAGGTTAATCAACGAATGAATATGCAAAGTATTACGCGCTCCCAGCATCACGCAAAATCCACGTGATTTTCGCATGATTGTGGATAACCATTGGACAGTAAAAGTTGATGTGGAGACTGGTATTGATGGAGGTCGGGAATTCATTTAACAACTTAGTCTGTAACCTTCTCGTTCACACAACGACGTCGGTGTTTTTCTCAATTTTACTATTTCCAATGATTTATATATTTTTTTTCTTTCTTTCATTATTTGCATCAGTCTGCGCCAAGTATTTATAGAAAAAAAATGTACGATAATAGTGGATTTGCATATTATTATTTTTTTTTATAAACAAACATAATTATAATTTCATGAGTAGCATCTATAAATATTCAATCAAACAGTATGGAAAAATATGTTATTTTAATTAAAATCTAATGATCAACCAAAACATCTTACATATACTTCGACATGTTTTAAAAACTTAGTATGAAAATTCAAAATGAATATATATATATAAATAAACTTTAAATAAAAAATATATATAAATATATCATTTATGAGTTATAGTAATATTAATAATTTATTTCAATTCTGCATATCGCTACAGATTGTGGAAATTGGATCTTTATGACTAACTATTCTAGAAAAAAAAATGTTCGATAATACAGGATTTGCATATTGTTTTTTTTTTGTAAACAAACATAATTATAATTTCATGAGTAGCATCTATAAATATTCAATCGAGCACTATGGAAAAATGTTCTTTTAATAAAAATGTAGTTTTCAGCTTACATTAAGAACATTAGTATGATGATATAAAAATATAAATAAATATACACATAACTATACAAATAACTAACTTATAATAATAATTGTTTAATTCCTACATCTGATGCAAATTGTAGTTATAGAAATTGGATTGTCTTAAAAAAATGTAAATTATTATTTTTAAAAGATAATTCTTATCTAAAATATGATCTGAACTTTATTTCCATAATATTTCCGTTTTAGTCTTTCATTTAGATTCATATTTAAATATTTCAAATTACTTGATCTGAATAAATAGCTCTACTAACTAGATGACATTTTTGTATATAATCCTAAAATCTTGATTAGTTCTTTATTTAGTTGAACTTAATGAAAATATATTTTTTGTGAATGAATCACACATGAAAGGATTGTAAGACAATTTTATAAAACGATTATATTAACAATATTTCTTACAAAAAATACAGGTAAACGTCGATTTGAGCCGGTTCGATTTACGTCGATTCACAATTACGCCGCTGTGAAATAACCTAACCCTAAATATAGGTTCATTTTACGCTGATTCGATTTGCGACGGCTCTTGTAGGAACGGAAGCCCAGCGTAAAACAACGTTTATCTGTACAAGAAATAAATAATAATTGTATTGCATCCATTTTTATTATCACTACCAAAGTATTATACAAAAAAATAACCATTATATATTAATTTACAATTAAATAATGTTATATAATGTATATAATAATTATTTAAATATATAGCTAAATATACTATTTTTACGTAATACAGTAATAACACGGTAATATATCGGACTGTCTGTAACCGGGCTAATCAAGTATATTAAAACTGCACAAAAAGAAACGAATAAGAAAAATAATAATTTAGTGTACTAATTGTTGACAATTCAAATTTAGTTTGTTTTGAAATATTCAAACCTGACATTAGTAAATTGGAAATGCACTGTGCATTCTTAAAGTATTTTGGCGATTTGCAGTTAACTAAATACATATTAATCTTCGTTTAACTTTCAGAATCCTCCTTGGCAAATATTAAGATTGAATGATTCTGGGCTAATTGAACACGGAGGAATAGTGTTCGATATAATTAAAGAATTATCAAACAGTTTGAATTTTACTTACACGATCGAAGTAATTAACTTTGATAATGCCAAAAACGCAAGCAGTAAATTGAATTCTCTGGAGATGACTGATTTGGTAACAAACCATATACCCGATAAAATTTTATATATGGTGAGGAATCGTCAGGTAGCATTCGGAGCAGCAGCTTTCACTGTAACAGATGCAAGTAAAAACCTCATTAATTTTACTATGCAAATAAGTACCCAAAGTTACACATTTTTGGTTGCAAGACCCAAAGAGCTTAGCAGAGCGTTACTGTTCATGTCGCCGTTTAAGAAAGATGTAAGTAGTTGCGACGCGGTATTACGTAATTGATTTATTCATTCACATTGAAATGAACTTGTTGATACTTATTTTGTATTTATGTTACACGAATGCTTGCTAAGAAAGATAATTGACAATATATTATTTACAGACTTGGCTTTGCTTAGCAGCAGCTATTGTTTCTATGGGACCTATCCTTTACTATATACACAAATTTAGTCCGGTGTGTGAATACAAGGGCGTTAGATTGGGAGGACTATCTTCAATACAAAATTGTATTTGGTACATGTATGGTGCCCTTTTGCAGCAAGGTAAACTGTTTTATTAGTTACATTACACTGTATATAATTGTAGTGAATCTTCACTCACGTATATTCATAAGTACATGATTTATGTATTTACAACAGTCTGCCCGAACTGACGTACAAATGTTAGTATTCGTACTAACATTCCAAAATCATTGTTCAACTCTTTTCAATATCTTGTTTGTAATTATTGCCAAAATTATGTTTTAAATTAATATTTATTAATTTCAAATCAATAAATTTCGAAATTTTATTTTTATTTCACGAAATAGATTGATCAATAGTAAACTTAACATATTTTGTGAATAAAATACTTAAAGTAAATATGTTAATTCATAATTTTAGCTTGGTGATTTAGCCTAATAATCTATATTTGCGAAAATATGTATTATAAAATTATATTCTTTGATTCACATTAATGTATGATTAAACTAATTATGTTCCATTTATCCAATTTACATTTTTTTTTTATATAATTACATCATTTTTGTTGCAACGAAATTAGATGTACCTAAAAATATTGATGTCGAATTAGTTCATTCAACCTCGAGTTTTACTAGAAATGCGTTATGACATTAAAATTTGAACTTTCTTCTAATTTTAAAGCGAAATGTTCGAGATTTATCTAGGTTTTTTTTACAATGTATCAAATAACATATAAATATGATAAAAATTCTTATTAAACAAATAATAGTTCTAAAGAAATTAGACACTGTTAAATTTGTAGCCTTCAAGAAATAATATAATCTTTTATATTTGCAACTTCCTGACAACATGAACTTCCTATTCTTAATTTACATGAATATTTATAACATATTTATAGGAATAGAAAAAAAAAATCGACATATTAATACTATTATTTTATTATTATTTAATAAAGTCTATTCTTTAAAATTTATTATTAATATTCAAACAATTTCATTCAGTTTTTTTTGTTGGAGATTTCGAAAATAAATCTAAATCAATCAAGAATAATATAAAAAACAAATAGTTTTCTAAGAATGTTTTACATGAAAGATCCAAAGTCAAATGTCACTTTGCTCAGTCGCCTTCGCAATAATAATCTACGTGCATGTTTGCACGTGCTCACGTCGCCTTGCTTTCCTTGAAATCGTATCTGATTTCGTGGAATATTTTCTTGGAAATGTCTGAGATGAACATTTTTTATATGAATTGCTTACGAATGATATAGTAATTTCATTAATTATAATTATTATAAATGTTAAAACTTATATAATAATAAATTTTTATTAAACTTTTTTTTTAATTTCTCCAAAAATGTAATCTAATAATATTTTAATATTGCTATTTCGCAGGTGGAATGCATATGCCTTATGCTGACAGTGCAAGGATAATCGTTGGTGCCTGGTGGTTGGTGGTTTTGGTTGTAGCAACCACATACTGTGGAAATTTGGTGGCCTTCCTTACATTCCCCAAAATCGATAATCCCATCGCAACTTTGGATGATCTTTTGGATCACAGGGATACTGTTAGTTGGAGCATGACTAAAGGCAGTTTTCTAGAAACACAATTAAAGGTAATAATTATAAGATAATTTATTTTTCTTATTTTTTTACATACGATTTTATGAAACATTGAAAATATCTCAATATTTATTACAATGTTCATTATTTTGTTCAAATGTCTATGCTATTTTACTATAAATTCCGAATTTTTAGTCGTATAATGAAATACTCGTATAGTGAAACATATTAAAAAATACACAGAATATGTGTACATAAGTTTTAAATCACCACGAAATGTCGCTCGTTAAGCGAGTCATTTTTCTTACAATTCCTTTTTGCTCTTTAAGCGAAATGCTCGTTATGCGAGGTGCTCGTTAAACGAGGTTCTACTATATTTCCATATATTTGATATTCAATTTGTATCTATTTTGACTCTTTCAGCTCTTTACTATTTATTCTACTACAATTTGTACCGAAACACTAATTAAAACCATGGAACTAATACAATTAGAATCTAGTAATTTTGAGACGATTTGTTAGAGAAATAAGTAAAAAAAAAATAATTGGTAGTTTATTCGAAAATATTAATTACAAATATAATATGAATAAGATTTATAGATACTTACCATATGTACTAAGAATAATGAATAAACTGTTGATATGTTTACAGAGTGCTACAGAAGATAAATACCAAGCTTTGTACAGAGGTTCAACAGGAATGGATGCAAAAGCTATTGAAATGTTGCCTCTTATACAAGAAGGAAAGCACATTTTTATTGACTGGAAAATCCGTCTACAGTACATAATGAGAAAACAGTATTTGTTAACGGGGAAATGTAATTTAGCGCTAGGTAAATACGTGATTTCTTTGAAGTAGGCTGCTCTATTCATCCAAGTCAATGCACTTATATTCTAATCACTATTACATAATTAAACATGTGTTAACGTGAACTTTCTAATTCAATATTATTTTAGGCGCAGATGAATTCTTTGATGAAAAAATTGCACTGGTGGTTCCTCAAGGTACACCATACTTACCAAAAATTAATGTAGAGTAAGATTTTTACTATTATAGAAAAGTTGTATATTATTGATTGATTGATTTGTGTAGGATTAAACGTCTTCATCAAAACGGATTAATTGGTAAATGGCTGAAGGATTACTTACCAAAGAGAGACAAATGTTTTAAAGTGCGACATGTGGCTGAAGTGAATAATCACACTGTTAATATGGATGATATGCAAGGAAGTTTCTTCGTGCTTATATTTGGTATGATACGAATTTTAATAATAAAATGAATGCTATTGTTAATTTTTTTTAGGATTTTTATTGGCACTAGGAATTATAATGTTCGAAAAATTCTGGTACAAATACATGTTGAAGCGTGATAAAAAAATAATACTGCCTTATACATCTTAACAAAGTTTATTAACTCCAATTCTATATATTATAATAAGGTATAGCGTTAGTATTTTGGCTACATGAAAACAAAGTGTTATTATGTTATTGATCTTTCGATAAGTAATAAAAAACAACAAAATTAGCAATGATGCATGTTAGTAAAATGTTCCTTGTTTTTGAATGTAGACCCCCAAGCGCCGTACTTCTTCTCTTGCTCTTTATCTTTTTCCTTCTTCTCTTGTTCCCTTTTCTGCATCGCCTCGAAACCAGATCTCTTCGATGCCTTCTCCCAATTTTGGTCTGACATTTTTGAACTCAAACTATATTCGTATGAAAATGAACCTTGAACCATGGTGAATGTTTAATTAACTACGATTCTTCGATAATAAACAAGCTACGGCACGTGGTGGATTTGTGTGAGTACTTGAAGTTCTAGGCGATTTCCGGAATTTCCTCGTCTACTTCCTTTGCGAGTGCGCAAATTCTTATCCAATCTAAATGTTTAGGAAATGAAAATATGTTATAGGAACTATTGTTTTGTTGTTATTTTTCGTGTTTTTCTTACCTAATGACTGGAAGGAATTTAGAACTGGCTTCAAAACCGGTGACTCTACAATTCATTGACACATATGTTGTACTGGTACATTAAAAAATGATAAAGCCAGCTTGTGAAATGCTAGGAGTCGCTTGAACAAGTTTCAACAAAGAACTGACTTGTTGTTTGCCAGAGGTATAATATTTATACAGAAACTGGTCTCGGTGACGTCACGTGCTGGAAGTGGCGGATGGATCATTTGCATTCATAACTATTTATGCAAGATACCTCTTGGAGGCGCACATGTTGTTCTCGCGTGTACAGAATTTTCACAGATAACACAATTTTCCAATAGTAACAAATATAATATTGTTACTAACGTAATTTTTTTGGTATTTACGGAAAATTATCTATTATTGTTACATGTGCGACTAAAAGTTTTCATCAATATATAAATATTAATTTTCTGATGTGAGAATTACCACTTATTGCATCAGTCAATAATGCACTTTACAAAAAGCAATAATAAATATTAAGTGGTAAAAAATCCTTGGAATCAATAATAAGCAAATATTCTGTTCGTCTGGTATATTAATTCTCTCAAAAATTGTTACAGTTACATAAATAATTTTTATCTTATACAAAACAGACAATTTAACAAAAAGATATATAAAAATATATATACTACTACTAGAAGCAATTGCCTCTAAAAAAAATCAATCAATTTTAAATAACCCACTTTGAAATTGAATCCCTCATATTTTCGTTGTGTATGCATGCGTCCAACCATGAAATGTGCAAGTTGTAGTTTCTGTCGTGAGCGTGTTGAAGTGTTCCATCATTTTTAGATGTATCTGTTTTACGTTTTTTAGTTTTTGTTGCATATTTTTGTTATCTTTTCAATATTTATTGTATTTTTTGAATTCTATCGCGAAGATTTTTAGCAACTGACCAGGTTGCAGAGATTAACAAGTCGTATAACCCACTAAATAAAAAAGGAAGTCCCATATGAAAAAAAGTATCACTTATATAAATTTGAGGGGCTTAGAAGATTGGAATACCAATGCCCGGCGGTTCCGAAAAAGGGTGGCTGAGTGTCAAGGGAAAATTGGTTATCAAAAAAGAAAAGAAGGGTGATTCATAGTTGTGCTGTTTACATACTTCAATGGGTTCTTTGCATTGAACGATTTACTTCAATTCGCGCGCGCCTTCTGCTGGACATGACAATTGATAAAGAAGTTGTGTGAGTGTTCGAGTCGGTCTTCCTGTCATCCTTCCTTTAGTATAATACGGGACAACTTTATCTTCGGCCAACATTCCAACGCCAGTTGTATCGAAATGAATCCAATCAACGCAATGGATGAACTCTTGAAGGAAAGCAGCTGCTAAACACGAATCTCCCTTTCCTTTGCCCTTGTTATCAACGTCGTGCGATGGGAAATCAGTCACTTTCTTGGTATAGAACTTCCATAGAGGCATCCTCCAGACTCTGTCGCCTGTTATTATTCCTGCTTTACGAACTTGGGACCACATAGTTTGGGAATTACAATAAACGCCGCTTGGTCCACCACCAAGTGCAGATCCAATACCTGGTGTTAAACTTGCTATGTCAATAACCAGTCTTGGTTTATACGTTTTCATGCCATATATTATAGCATCAGCTAAACATAGTCGACCTTCGTTGTCAGTATCGGTAATCATTATAGATTTCCCATTCATCCCCATAACTACATCTCCGCATTTCATCGCCATACCACTGGGCATGTTCTCGCACAAAGGTATAACTACATTTATGTTAATAGGTAAACTTAAAGCTGAAACTGACCGGATTGCGCCAACGATTGAAGCTGCTCCAGTCAGGTCGCCTCTATAACGAGCCATGCCAAACTTTTTCTTGATGCAAATACCGCCGCTATCAAAAGTAATTCCTTTTCCTACAATTAAAATGGGTTTAAGATCTTGCGGTCCTCCGCAATAAGACATTGTCAATAGAATAGGAGGCTCGCAAGAACCTCTCGCCACAGCCATGAAAGCATTCATCTTTGTATGCTCAATCCAATCCCTATCATGGACTTCCACCTTAATACCGCAAGGGCACAGTTCATTTACACACTCTTGTGCGAAATGCAAGGGGGTCATTAAATTTGCCGGAGTATCGCTTAATCTGCGTGCCAAATTTTGCGATTCGGCTTTGAACAATCCTCGCTGGAAACTTTCCATGTCTCCATCATCGTGAAGTTCAATCGTTGGTATCACTTTCCAATTCTCTTTCATCTTGTTTTCTTGGTATTGCCAGAGAGCCAAAGCCGTTCCTTCGGCTGCTTGCTCGGGGAAACCGAATCCTTCGACCAACACCCGAGTACATCCTTGAAACTTCAACAGAACAGCACCTTTAGCCGCAGCTTTTCGAACTGCTTCCATTCCTTCATCGATGGCTTCCAACTCATTGTAACCTCTGTTTTCAGGTCCAAGACCTACCACAGCAACAGCCCAAAACTCATTGTCCACATTATTGAACGCTCTTCCCATGCCCTCCGCTAACGGACCAGTACTACAAAAAAATACATCTAGTGGCATGACTTCATAACAATTAATATTTGACTTACGATTTAACAAGTTCCAAAATTTTTCCATCTACCTTATCATTGTATCTTGCTGCGGCAGGAGATAGAATTGGCTGATCTTGATCCCCTTGGTATACACCCAGAATTATTCCTTTCTAAATCAATTCATATATTAACATTACATATCTTGTGCTATACTTACAACCAACACTTACTTTTTCGCATTCGAGTGAGCAATCTGGTGCACAGTAACGCCTCTTTGTCGTGGTGTTATTTTTGTTGATAGCTTCAAGCAGATGTGAAACTCTCCTCACTAGACCTCGGTGATTTCGTAGAGCAAACATCTCCGCGACGCTCAATAGGCACACATTTCACAATAAAAATTTTGATTAGTCTCGAATCTACCTTTTCCAACATACGACAAACAGATTTTGCAGACTTGACGGTTTTTCTAAATAAAACAAAAATAAAACCGAATGCCGGTTACCTAGTCGACAGCGATTCTCATTTGGATTTTCAAAGGCCGTCGGATATGTAATCTTATTATATGTCACAACTTGCATTTTTTTAAATATTTTATTAATATTAAATATTGTAAAATAATAAAATATTAGATAATATTAAGGACTTAAAGACATAAATTTGAAACAGTCCATTATTTGATATTCGATTACAATAAATAGTATTATTATTAATTAGACTGAAGTTTTTTTGAGTTAGTGCATGGAAAAACTGGAAATTTCATTAAAGGAAACACAATTCCAAGTATTAAATGATTTAAAGAAACGTGTATTTAATAAGCATAATTTGCATTTTCATCTGTGTTAGGAAAATATCTATGTAAATTTTATTTAACGAGTCGCATGTGTTTCTTTAATTAAATTGTTCGAATGAGAAAATACCATTGATTCAATAAAAATCCTAACAATATAATTTAACACATCTAAGATAAAAAATATATAATTCATATGAAATAGCCAAAAGGATATGAAATTTTAAAACATCATTAAACGATTTTTATAAAGAAAAAAAAATGGTTTGGAACAGGTATTAAATATATATTGGAATGTTATCAACTTCATTCAAAAAAATGTTAGTCCAAAGTTTAAAACTTCTTTCTGTAATTTAATTCATAACGAGAATATGTTAAGCTGGAGGCATTTAGAATTGTCTTATATAAGTTGATTAGTTGTTTCTTTTTTCCATTGACTTGTCTACTGCGTGTGTCTGTCTCTTTAAGTCTAGCCTTTCATAACCGAGGTAGTAACAGATTTTTCTGCATTATTAGTCATGGTTGTTGGTAAAAATGCATTATTTATTAATGGGTTTATCACCGGAAAAACTGCTATATATATGCAGTTTCCCATTATCTATCTATAGAAAAAAATATTGTACTTTCTGTAATTTATGTATTAACAAGAAATATGTATCTTTCATACAATTAGGTGATTATTTTAAGTTTACTTTAATTTTTGGTATTTTTCCAAGTTCTCTCATTAAAAATTAACTCATTTGCCTAAAGTCGTAAAATTCCACATCATTTCGTTTTGCGTCATTTAGTATTGATTGTGCTTTTCGAGAACGTCGCAAAGATGAGAATAAAATTATTTCTTATTAAATTTATTGGTCATAGTGTATGACCAATAAATATGTTAAATAATAAAGATTATATTTAATCTCAATAAATACATTACAATAATAACACACAATTAAAAAAAATAAATGCCCAAATCAAACATTGTAATTAAATAATCAAATAAATATATTTAAATTGTATTAAATTTATAGATAATATAACAGCTTATTGTTCCAATAAATAAACGATCAAAAGGAACAATTTTTGTTTCACTAAAAAAAAAAGAAGTTAAATAAAAATATAATTAATAAACGAAATTATGCATTTTTTGATACTTTATGATTAACTCGGTTTTGCATTCAAAAAGTTCAAATTTTCACGTTTTTCTCACGAATCTATCTACCGGGGATGGGTATTGTGATTCGTTTAAATACATGACCTGCCCTCTATCGGTACTACTTAGATATATTATGTACATTACGTAGTTTAATTAGAGGTTGTCATTCATTGCCAGTAAAAGTTTGGTTATGACTAAGGTACTTTTGTTTGTTATTGGTTAAATAATTGGTAGTTAAATACTTGTAAAATGGCTTCGAGCAGCCAAAGTATGCCGATTTCTCAAATATTGAAATCCAAAAGTGATTTTGAAGATGAACCCAAGAAAAAATCCCGCGAGGATTGGAGAAAAGCGAAGGAGTTGGAAGAGGCACGAAAAGCAGGTACTGCACCTGCTGCTGTGGATGAAGAGGGTAAAGACATCAATCCACATATACCACAGTATATCTCTTCTGCTCCATGGTACTATGGTACCAGTGGACCAACACTCAAACATCAGCGGCCACAAGCTGAGAAGATCAAGGAGTTTTCTGACTTGAATGAATGGTACAGCAGAGGTGTAGATAATGTAAGTATAAACGTAATTAACTGTATATCAATATGCTAAAATTGTATTATTTTAGACTAAACGAGCAATCAAATATAGACCAGGAGCATGTGAGAATTGTGGAGCCATGACACACAAGAAGAAAGATTGTTTTGAAAGGCCTAGGAACATAGGTGCAAAATTTTCAGGGAAAAATATAGCTGCTGATGAGTTTGCACAGAAGCACTTATCTTTGGACTATGATGGAAAAAGGGATAGATGGAGTGGTTATGATCCAAGTGAACACAAGTCTATTATTGAAGAATTTCAGAAAGTTGAAGAGGCTAAACGCCAGTTGCGCGCTGATAAATTGAACGCAAATGAGGAGGAGGATGATGAGGACAAAGATGAAGATAAATATGTCGATGAGGTTGACATGCCTGGTACAAAAGTAGACAGTAAACAGCGGATCACTGTTAGGAATTTGCGTATTCGTGAAGATACTGCTAAATATTTGCGAAACTTGGATCCAAATTCAGCGTATTACGATCCGAAAACAAGGTCTATGCGTGAAAATCCGAAGCCCAGTGTTGACGATAACTACGCAGGAGAAAATTTTGTAAGGTTTTCGGGTGATACCACAAAACATGCGACTGCTCAGTTATTCGCATGGGAAGCATATGATAAGGGCGTTGATGTGCATTTGTTGGCTGAACCAACGAAATTAGAAATGCTTCAGAAGGAATACGACAAAAAGAAAGATCAATTCAAGTCGCAAGTACACTCTGACATTCTTGAAAGATATGGAGGCGAGGAACATTTGCAAGTCCCTCCAAAATCTTTACTTTTAGCTCAAACTGAAGATTACGTTGAATATTCTCGTTCAGGGAAGATTATCAAAGGACAAGAGAAAGAGATCATCAAATCCAAATATGAAGAAGATGTGTATATCAATAACCATTCAAGTATTTGGGGATCTTTTTGGAAAGCTGGTCATTGGGGATACAAGTGTTGTCATTCATATATCAAAAACTCGTACTGTTTGGGTGATGCCGGTAAAAACAAACCAGTAAATGAACTTCCTCCTCCAACAATTGACGCAATGCCGGAAGAGGAGGAAGAAGTGAAACAAGTGGAGGAAACAAAGGCTGCTTCAAGTTCTAGTTCATGCAGTGAGGATGAAAGGACTAAAACTGAGAGGAAATCAAAGAAGAAGAAGAACAAAAAGAAAATGCGAAAGGAAAAGAAGAAGCAGGAGAAAGAAGAGGATAAATTAAAGAAGGCATTGCAGAAGGAGGATGAACATCATAAAGATGTTGAAGAGTTAATGAAATTGGATGAGAGAAAACGTCCTTACAACAGCATGTTTGAAGTTAAGAAACCTAGCGAAGAAGAAGTTGAAGCATATTATATGAAAAGACGCAGAGACGAAGATCCTATGAACGAATTTGTTTAATAAATATTAATTTGAAATAGATTTCGTTATTCTTAATTCAACACCTTCACTTATCATTCTACCTGCAAGGTAAGCTGTATTTTTGGCATCATCTAATCCACTGTGCTGCTTTCCAACAAATTTTAAACCAACTTCACTTAAAGCCCCTTCCAACCCTTTGGGTCTTCTATTGTAAAATTCCTGAATAAACAAAAAATATGTATTTTATATATAATAAACTGTAATTCAAAATATTACCATGTATAATGCCCTCAGATCTATCCACTTATTGAAAACATCAGATTTAGGAATATTCTTTCTTTTACATTCCTTTCTGAGACAAATTCCTAAATCCCAATCAGACCAAGTTACAAAAGCACATTGTTTTTTATCAGCATCTTTAGAATCAAAAACAAATTTATGCTTTTTATACAAATCTTTTAACCAATTGTTGAAAAGCAATAAACATGTTCCTATTGGAACTCCTGCATCTACTTGTTTCTGTGTTATACCTATAAACAAAATTTAAAAAAATAATTTCATTAATATGCTTAATAACTTACCTGTAAGAGATGTGCAGAAATTGCTCAACTTGGGGTACTCAAAAGGCATTACATATTGTTGAAATTGATTTAGTATTTTACACAACTTTATATCATATAGAACCACTGAGAATTCTATGATCTCAGAAGGAGCACTACATTCATTCTTGTTCCAACAAGTGGCTTCAAAATCTAACACCAATAAAAAATTGAAAATTTGTTCACTGTATTTACTTGGAACATTTTTCTCCACCTCTAAGACCTCAGAACAACCAAGTTTCCTGTAATGTGTTATTAATATGTATATTATAATTTTTTTATAACATAAAAACATACATTGCCTGTTCACGAGTTGCCATTTTAATGTATTTATTTAAAAAAATTAATTATACACATCAATATGCAAGAAATTTTAATAATTATATGTAATATGTGGTCACATCATATGTTGTAACCAGTTGTAACCACTGAAAGAAACGAAGTATATCACAAAAACTGTTTACTCTTTGTGTATTTTACTGCAACCAATTAAACTACAACAAATTAAAATTAACTTTATTCTATTATAAAACAAGAAATATTGAAAGAAAAAAGGAAGATATTTTGCCCTTAAAATATTGCTGTAACATTTATAAGTAAACAGTTTCTTAATAATTTAATTTTCTAAAAGTTCAAACGGGTTGCATACAAATAAGATAGATGATTTGTTTTGGTCATTTTATACAACTTCACCCATTGCACTTCACTTTTCAGTCGGTTTCAGACATTGTATAGGATCGTTTAAGTAAAATGTCTGGAGGAAGAGTATTACCACAAAGCAAAGAAGCTCTATTAAAATCATATAGAACAAGGCTTCGTGATGATGTGAAGAGTATGCTGGAAAACTTTGAAGGTAATTTTATATTAAGTTAGGTTAAAATTTGTTATAATCATTTTGTAAATCCTTTTAATCTTAAATTTCATTAGTGTCAATAGTTAGAAATCAACTATTTTGATTTTATAATATATATTTCATTATAGAAATTGTCAAATTGGCAAAAGGAGAACATGATACACAGTTATCGAGGATGACTCAATGTGAGCAGGATACTTATGAAATGCATGTGAGAGCAGCTAATATTGTGCGTGCAGGAGAATCCTTGATGAAGTTGGTATCTGATATAAAGCAATATTTAATATTGAATGATTTTCCATCTGTGAATGAAGCAATTACACAAAACTCAAAACTATTCCGGTAAGTTAATTCTTATTTTATTTGGAATTTATAAAATGTAATTTTGTTTTAATATTCTAGTACCAAGCAAGCTGAATGTGATCAAAAGTTAATGAGTTTGAGGGATGATATGGCTGCTGATTTATATGATTTGGAAGAGGAGTATTATAACAGTATTAATAAATAGCATTAGGTTTCATTTTTTGTTCCCATTATGAATATTATTTTTAGAGTTTATTTTGATCTAAGTTTATTATTTTTATATTCATTGTCTATGCAATAAATTATTGTTAATAGAAACCTATGGATCTCTTATGTTATGAGTTAACTAAAATATAAATTAGTAAACTCATAATTATATTATTTTAATAAGTCATTTAAATGTACAACAATATCTCGGATAATTTGTTCACTCAATATTCCTTATTGTTTGAAAACGGATTAATCGAGTACTCGACACTTCTAAAAAATATAATTCTGTACTAATATTTTAGAATTTATTTTGCTCTAATGTTTATGAATGTTTTTTTTTAAGTTTGTCATATAAATGAGATGCGTCAATACAATTCTTAAATTAAGAATCTTATTTTAATAATTACAAACTTTATTGATCCTTTCGACTAAAATACTATGGACCTTTAAATTATTTCCGGATTTTTTAGTAAAGTCACAAGCAATTACTTAGCTCAGATGAAGAACATAATAATTACAGATAATGAATGATTTTTTTTCTAACGGAAAATGAATAGAATTTCTATTGTTTGAAACTGAAGTTTATATGAAATAATTAAGTCTAGGAAAGCATTTAAATAAGTATTTATTTAGTAAAGTAAATTATGTAATTTATTTTATTGCTTGTCAGATTTATAAACATTTTAAGTTATAAGTTGTATAAAATATAAGATATTAGTTATAAACACATAACTTTTAATAAATATGATCAAAATATATGTACACAGTAGTGATTAATATACTATTTTAATAGAATTGTGCGAACAGCGAGATATTCGAATTACAATAAAGGTCATGTCGTTAGCACCGAATTATATATTTAAACAAAATGAAGTTGTATTTAAGCTAATTGTTTTATAAATGCGTCAACATATTTTTTTACACGACCATCCATTCTTTCTGCAAAAATCTCTGTCGAATTTTCTCTGTGTTCGGTGGATGAGTGTGCATTCGTACGCTTTTGATAACGATGCCATTCATTGTGGTCACGCGTGCCCTGCATTTGTATCTCACAAAGTCTGAACATTTCCAGAAGATTTTCAGATCGTATCTGTTGTTCACGTGATAGATGTTATTTTCGTAAATCATTGCCATTTGGCCGCGACTATTCACAGTATACGAAATATCTGAAATCAAACATAAATTTATCAAATCATATAATAATTGTATAATAATTTATTTATGCTCATTTTTTTTTATATTAACATCCATTAATTAATACTGATTTTAGAGTCATAGCCCAACAATTTAAAGATCAAAATATCTGAAAATATCTAATGTTTATAACTAAAATTATTTCAGAATCATAGGATTAACTAAGTTTATTACTACAAATGAAAGAGCACTATTTTAGAATAATTATTTATTTTGTAAATAATGCACAATTTAATTCAATAAATTAAGTAGTTCCATCTGATTTAATTTTTTCTTTGACGGATGTAAGTTGAATGGTGGATGCATATGCCATAAACCTGTCAACTTTGTTATATGTCCATTTAAAGAAATAGCCCTGGACTTGCAATTCTTTTCTCCGCATTTCCAGAACGTCTTGCAACTCGATCTCCTGTCGACAATATATCTGAACTTGTTTATCATTAACCAAACGCTGTTCTCCTGAGTTCCTCTTACATAAAACGTAACTGAAACAAAATTTCGATTAGAGCTATAATCTCAAAGTTTCGTAACAAATCAATCAAGAACTGTGCAACTAACTACTCTTACGTATCTATTAAATAAAAACATATAATTCCTTTTTAATCTTCAGCGAGAAATTTTATTTAATTGTTAATTTACAATATTCGTATTTACATAGTCTGCACTTAAAAGCAATGTGATATTTTGATTATCATTCTTAATAATGTTTAAAGAGTGCTTGTACAAAGTTTAAATGCAACATTTTCTTCTTACAAATAAATAGTGCTTCTACAACATTTCTTGTAAAACGGGAAATTAAACATATAAATGTTGCGTTAATTCCATTAATGCATTAAGTATCAAAATATATATGTGAATATAACAATAGTTTTATATCCTAATAATACTAAATATATTTGAAAACGACAAATACAGTGGTGCATATTAATAAAATAATATTTAAGTCAAACATAGATATTTAAAAGTAAAAGCAACAGTTTCATTCTTAGTAACTATATAAATATTTTCTCAAATCTTAGTAACAAGTAAGTCGTATATTGATCATAATTGTAGCATACATCTAAAGCTTTTGACAACAATATTAAAAATAGTTGACAAGCTCAATTCTAATGCATATTTTTGTTTGAGAATATTTTAGTTACTACATAAAATAACTGTAATTAAAACAGGTTCAAGCTTTTAAGTTCCTCATGTCTCAACCTTTGAAGGGTGGCGTCAGAGTCGACTGGTAAATGGGAGTGCCATTCTCCGGTTAACTTTATGCGAAATCCTGGATACGTGATAACTCTGGAACGGCAATGCTTCACGCGACATTTCCAGAATGTTCTGTTCACAGACCTTCTGTTCACTATGTACCTGTACTTTCCGACCATCAACCAAATGCTTCTCTGCTTGTAGCTTCTCACATAGAACGCATAATCTAAAAAAGAACATTCAGTTGAATAAACTTGTAAGATATCTGCTAATGAGTGCTCATAAGGGATGGAAAAATTATGGAAGAATGATCGAGAATTATTGTGATTGTAAACATAGATTTTATTAGTTTTCAAAACTACTCTTATTATATTATTGATACGATACCGAATATCAATATAACATTGAGCATATTACGTAAATAATCAAATTTAAACGTAACAATAATTACTTACCTATGGCTCATGTTATAAATTATTAACATTCAATAGGTAGTTTCGTGTGTTAAAAATATTAACTTAGGTATAAAAATAAAACTTAAATTTAAAGAATTTTATATCTTTATTATCATTTTTTAGGACAATTACATAAAACAATTTTGCATATTTGTCTTAACTAACTGAAAATAGTTTAAAGAAACAATATATTAAATAATTAATATACGATAAAACTGTTACAACAAGGTTAGCTCTAATCAGACTATTCAATTCCATTTAATCGAATTTATTCAAATTATGATTTGTTATCAGTTCCTAACCCATCGAATCTCCTCTGCTAATATGTTATGGGTTTGTGAATTTTCATCTTCCGGCTGATGGGTGTGTATACCATGTAGCAAAATACTGCTATTATGACCCAGAATGCAGCGAGCTTTGCAAGTGCCAACGTCATAATACCGACATTTCCAATACGTTGAAGTTCCGCTGCTTCTATGCTTTACGTATCTGTATTTTTTAACTACTAAATGTGTGTACTGCCTTTTGCCTTTTACATATGTGATGATGGTTTTACCTAAAATGAAAAAGGCGTTAGTTATATGATTCTATGTATTCTACAAAACTATATGCTTATTGGTTTACTTCTTCAATTTGTAGTAATTAAAAATGAAGTAACAAGTACATTCATATTACTTTCTATAGCTGTATATCGCATTGTCAATTATGATATGTATATCATAATGGAGCTTTATTTATTATCTATAAATTTTGATAATATATTTAAATGTATCCCAACAACAATTTGCATTATTTTTCAGAATTATTTTCATTTCTTGATAATTTTGATGGAAAACGGAGACAACAGAAAGTTATTGAACGTATTTTTAATTATTAACTAAATTTTAAAAGTAATTTAGTTTCTTTTGATAAAGGATTATAAAAAGATTATAAATAATTGGTAGATTTTATTTGCATATATTTATACAAAACATAAAGAAATGAATACATTTTCTAATATAACTTATTAATGATTTCTGCCGCAAATTGCTACACAAAATGACTATATTAATATCTATACTGAAAATCTTTGGAAATAAGCTTCTGGTATAAATTATATTTCTTAATTGAACAAATAAAATACAAAATTAATTTAAAATTAATTTGTACTGCATGAAAAAAATATATGATAAATTATATCTTTAACTCAAAGTTTGTACTGAAACATGTACCTGTATAACTAAAATCAACATTTCAAACATTTTAACATATATATCTAAAGGAGTTAAGGATTGATTAGTAACACATTTATTTTAAAAATATAATTCACTAGTATTAATTAAATTTGACTACTGATTTCAATTAGGAAATTGCATCCTGCATCCTTAAAGAGTAGCGATGGACTCCTTAGAAAGTGTTTGATTGTATTCAACGCTACCTCTTTTGAATTGTTCCAAGATATATCGAACTGGCGGATAATGGTTGTGCTTTCCAACTTTCGAGTAAACATTCTTGGTATTCGTGGATACTTGAGCTTTACAATAATTCGAAGTGGCACATCTCCAGGTTAAACGTTGACGTGTCGAGTTCGCAAATTCGTAGATGTGTTTTTGGTAAATGAGGTTTCGCTTCCCGTTCGGCTTTATTAAAAAATTAAATCCTAGAAATAAAAAGAAAAATAATGATATTCAATGTATATTCTTTTTAATGAAAATTGCATTATAATAATGTCACTCGTCCACTTTGTTAATCACTTATTTATATCAAACACTCGTATCTCACAGTAATTCCGCATATATACACATTAGACACTTCCTTTTAGTACTTTCATTAATTATGTAGAGTAAAAGTTATTTAAAGTTCAAGCAGACCAACGGAGGTAAATTAAATCATAGGCGGTAAATGTAAAATGATTTTTCAATTCGAGCTGAAGATCATTTTTTAGTAATTGTGTTAATCTTATTACATACATGCTTAAACGCAACTGAAAACGAATCTGATATTCACAATGCAATCTGTTAGTTTTTATTAAAGGAAATAATTAGGTTAATTGTCAATAATTATGAATGTATAAGCTTTTGGAAATAAAATTTTCGGGAAATTTTTACCTTTATTTGAAACATATTGAATATTACATTGGTAATAAAACTTTTAAACAAATATGCACACAATGCATCTAAAAAAACTAAACATATTGGAAAGTTTATTCTTAACAAATTTTAGCAATGAAAAGATTATTCTAAAAGTAGACAAAAGCTGGAAACGTGTTAATGTTACTTCAAATCATCATTATTCTCCAAATTTTGAGCGGCTTCCTCCGCTTCGTTATCATTTTCATTTGTATTATCCTCGCAAATAATATTTTTTAAATCCATGTTTTCACCATCGTTAATCCTTCTCCATCTGTTCATTTTCGCTTTTATGGAAAGATAAGATGTTTCTCTCGCAGCATTGGGATATCTAAAATGTATAAAATAAAATATAATACATAATTAAAAGTTGTACTGGGTTTATAATACAGTGGGCTTAAATGTTCATAGATTTCTTTAGGGCTTATCGATTCG